TCAGCAGGTTTCTGCAATGTTTATCTGAATCCAGAGACCCAGCCTTTTGCCGTTTGCCACACCAAAGCTCTGAGATGTTATGTAAGTTGCCCAGGATTCAAACCCAGCTCTGTCTCCAGAACTTGTGCAGTTTCCTCTCTGTCTGCTTCCCATGAAAAGCTAGTGAGGTCATCAATCTGCACAAGCTCCAAAAAGTCCACAGCACTTTTCACAAGGCAGGCATTTGGTGCCCTCTTGGTTGAACCACTGGCCCATTCCTCACAAAGGGCAGCTGGTGGGCAGGAGGAGCAGCTGATGCAAGGGGAAGTCTGCTACTTCCGGCCTGGAGCTTTCCTCTTCCCCAGTGCTTGGTGATTTCCCAATACTCACGAGTTTCATGTCTCCTGTCTCTGGGTAGTGGGTTCCAGAAGCTTTTGGAGGTCAAGGCCAGTTAGCTCCCACCAGAGGTTCAGGATACCAGGAGGACGAGTCTGACCTTGTGTAGACCAGGTCACTCGGTCTAGCCTCAGTTTCCTCATCTGTAAAACGGACAGTCGTACAAGCAGATTCGAGGTGCAGCCCCGGTCAGTGGGGACGCTGCAATGCTGTGACAGCGAAGACCGGAGCTAACTCACTGGGCTAGAGCATCCATCTCCTGGCCTCACGGATGGTGCAGAGCGGACGGTGGGAGCAGGTAGGGCATAGTGACTCAAGGCAGCAGACAATCCTGTGCTGGGAATACCCCATTCTCCCCCTTCCTCCCCATCAGGTAAATAAACCAAGAACACGTGACAGAGCAAATGAAAATGTTAGTAGAAGCCGGCTTAGGTTTCGTGATATGTATCTCGGTGTTAGGAGGGGACAAACAGTTCCTCTGCATAATGAGTACACAGGGATGGGGCTCCTGAAGCAGGTGGCTTCAGCAGCAGGAGGAGGGTGGGAAATGGGGGAGGCTGAGAGGGATAGAATCAAGGGAAAAAGAAAGGAGCAAAGCATTGAAGGGACACAAAAATGGAAAATAATTTATTGATGATGACATGTATGATCATTTCTTTGACTAAACCAATATGCAGTATATTCATGATGGGGAAATACTGTAATGATACACAGTGATTGAATGTTAAAAAAAAAAAAAGTCAATTAAGGCTGTGGTCAAGAAGGCAGTCCTCGCAGGGAGCGATCCAGCCAATCGTTAGAGCCCAGCAACAAACGTGGATGTGAGTGGCTAACTGCAATCTGGAGTGGAGGATCGCCCCAATCTCCTCTCCTCCCCAGCCCACCACTTCTGGACTTGAATTCTCCCCCTCCCTCTTTCCTTCAAACCCACAGAAGAATCAGGTGGGGAAATGACTATCTTTCTTTGTTTTTCTATTTTCTTTTTTTTGGAGAGATTTTTGCTACAGGGCATGTGTGCTCACCAGAAAGAGAGGGAGAGAGAGAGAGAGAGACAGAGACAGAGACGGAAAGCAAGAAATCACTCCTTGGGGGGATGACTACACCATAATCCCTTCTCCTCCATTCCCATTCTGGGATCTTGGGCACACATGCACACGTGCCCAGCATGAGTATTAAGCCATAGGGTCTGGGACTTGAACCACAGTTGGCCATGTGGGATTCTAGCAACATAACTGCTACCACCAACTGTTGGCCCCAATAACTATCTTTCTTCACAGCAAATTTTAGAGGTGAGAAAAACACAGGATTCATTGGGAGTTACCGTTTCTGGTGTGGGATCAGGGAGGAGTCTGGGAGCTGCTGCTTAGGGGCCAGAGGACAATGGAAAGCAGAGACTTAGTAGATGAGGAGTCTACGAAGTCAGTGGTTTGGGGAAAGGCTTATATGAATGTGACTTGGACATAGCAGGTCTCAACTAGGGGAGAGTGAAAAATATGGTAGCCTGTGGCCCATAGTGGCTACTGACCTGAGGTACCACAGGCAATAAAGAGGATACCCTTGCATGTATTCACCCCAGCCTTACCTGCCCCAGGTTTCTATGGCTGGGATTTGCCACCAGAGACTGAGGTAAACTGTTGCCAGAACATTCTAGAAGGTCTGTGTGGTTCACCTGTTAGAGGAACTGAGGCTGCTGCTCTTAACCTTGCAAGAAGACATCATGATCTGGGATCCTCCTGGTTGGCCAAGGGTTCCATTTACAGGAGGGTTTCATGGAGTGCCAGAGGGGTCCCAACCGCTCTACTAGAGAGAGGATCTCCACAGGTCCTATAGCCCAACAGGTGGGAGCTGGAGCCTGCTGCAGAGTGAGTGCATGCTGACAGGGGCAGGCCAGCCCACCTTTGCAGGGCCATGGCTCCTAGTACATGTGGGGAGGGGCGGTCAAGGCCTCAGAAGCCCTTCCCCAGCCTCAGCCTGGACACAGCTCTCCCCTCCCCCATCCTGGGGAAAACCTGAACCAGCTCTGTGCAGGCAACAGGAGCAATATTTTCCACTTCCTCGTAGCTGACAATCTTACTCTTTTTTTTTTTTTTTTTTTTTATCCCCTCATTCTGTCTCTCATCCTCCTCTGTTTTA